GCCCTATGAGGAAGGAAAATGTATCTTACTGTTGTCATATACCTCTTTACAACTCATCAGTCCTGGTTTGGCTATTAGATACCAATAACAATAAATGGGAATGAAAAACAGATATTAGGTGTAACAGGACAGTTATCCTTATGAAGAGTATCTTAACTTTCCATACTGATCCTACTTTGTGCACACTTTCCAGGGAACATGGTGATGGAGTTGTTGTGGTTCTCATTGCCCTGAGCTGCCTTCAAGATCTCACAGAACCATAGAATATCATGACTTGGAAGGAACCCACAAGGATGATTGCATCCATCTCCTGGCCCTGCACAGGACCATCCCCAAGAGTCACACCATGTGCCTGAGAGCATTGTCCAAGCACTTCTTGAACTCTGTCAGGCTTGGTGCTGCTACCACCTTCCCTGGGGAGCCTGTTCCAGTGCCCAACCGCTCTCTGGGTGAAGAACCTTTTTCTAATATCCAACCTAAACCTCCCCTGACAGAAGTTCATGCTGTTTCCTCAAGTCTTGGCATTGGTCACAGGAGTGAAGAGATCGGTGCCTGCCTCTCCACTTACCCTTGTGAGGAAGTTATAGACCATAATGATGTCTCCTCTTCTCCAGGCTGAACAAGCCAAGGGACCTCAGCTGCTCCTCATATGCCTTCCCCTCAAGGCCCTTCACCACCTTTGTTGCCCTCCTTTGGATGCTCTCTAATAACTTAATATCTTTCTTATATTGTGGTGTCCAAAACTGCACACAGGAGTCAAGGTGAGGCTGCACAAGCACAGAGTAGAGTGGGACAATCACCTCCCTCAATCTCAAAGAAAGGCTCCTAAAGGCTTAATACGCCGAACAGCATAGGCCTGCAGCTTTCCTTTTCTTTTGCCAGCTACTTTGTCTCGTATCCTATCTTTGTCTGTACCAGCCTCTGCAGAAGATTAATGTATAGCAGAGTTAAAAGCCATCTTGTCAAGATTTGAGAGCCATGGCAGAACAGTGGAAATAAGAGCTAGGGCCTCTCCAAATGCCTATAGTCCTTATTTAACCCCCCCCTTTTTTTTTTTGAGAAAGGTTTTTAGAGAAAGATTGACTTATTTTATCTTTATGTCCAGCACACTCATCAGCAAACAACCCTTGGGGTTGTTTTTTTTTTGGGGTAAATGACATCTAATGATGATAGCCATATTCTGTCTGGTACTTTCAAGTTTCTTGCCTTTGCTCCTGCAGGTAAGGGTGACATCAGCTCACATTGCTTCAGCTCCCTCAGCTGCCATATCTCCACTGGGACACATTTTGAAGGAAATGCTGTCATGCTCAGTGAGGGAAAGGTAGAGCAGCCTAGAAGTGAGAAGAGGAGCTCCACACATTAATCTCAGGTTATTTTCTTGCTTTTCTATCTCCTTCTAAAGCCCAAGCAGACAGCTCTGCCTTTGTAGAAAGATATTCTTTCAGCATCTGAGTGAACTCTCTAGACCCTTCTACTGTCTCTGTACGTCATGTCCTACCTGACCATTCACATCCATGGCAGAGTCTTTGATACTGCACATAAAGCACATCAAGCCCTATAAGCCATGGGTAACTGAGGCTCATGACCACCTCTTTGGGCACAAAGACAGTGCAGGTGCCTAATGTTCAGATGAACTGGTGGACAATCAAAGGCCCCAGATCTGTGCTTCCCCTCTTGGCATTCTCCAGAGCAGTGAGCAAGCTGCTCGTGGCCTGATGATGTTGGGGCTATCTGGATTCTTCAAGCCCTCTTCCTCACATTTCAGGTTCTGGATGGATATGCTCATAGTTTTCAGTAAGCTTGCAATTTATTGTGTGACATTCTCAAATCATTTTATAAATCTAATACTTAAAGCGTGCTCTGCTTAGCACTGAAATACTCTCATCTAGGTTGGTGCTTAGCAAAGCAGTGCTCTAACAGCATTGATATTGCCACCAAGGTCAGAGACTGAAAGATGTGTCCTACTGCTACTGTCAAAGCATTGCAAAAAAGTACATTGTACTAGGCTGGAATTTGTCTAAGACTCAGAACTGAACAGCTTTGTCTTGTGAAAAGATTTCGGAGTCTCTAGGGAGCGTGGGCTGTTTGGTCTTCAGATGTATATCCCCTGCTCTTCTGGCAGTACGTGGGCAGTACGTGGGTAGTACGTGGGCCATAACGTGGAATGGGATGTTTGCCTGCTGTTTAGTGAAATAAAAGTCATTCTCTGTGATGACTGTGAGGGTCTTTTGGAGCCTGTCTACTCCCTCCTGACTTCTGCTGCTGCTTACAGGAGAAATTTCAGCCTGAGGGTAACTTTGGCATCTCCAGCCTGTTTCATAAAACAGATACCAACAGTATGAGTAAGGCAGGATCCCATGTGACTGTATAACCACTGGTTTGTATGGAAAGATATTTCTCACATTAGAAAGTCCAGAGAGTGGGAGGGGGGAAATCTATAGCAGTGGTTTGTCTTGTGACTGTGGAAAAGATATGTGATGCAAGCTAAACTACTGACCCCTGTCACCTTTACTTGGCATGGGAAAACCTTTTCTTTCCAATTCCCAACTAGCAAAGACTGTGCAAATGGTTATCTACTAGAAGGTTCTGTACTTCTGTGTTCTTCACCGAGTTTTATATTTTACTGAATGAAAAAAGCTCAAAAACTTTGGCTCTCTCGTGGCTAGAAATAAAGTCTGGTCAGAATCATTCCTCCAACAGATCCCCCCAGAAAATGAGGAGGAAGTTCGTTCAGTGAAGCTAAAGGGGTGGTAAGTGGAGCTGTGCACATCATTCCTGGCTCCATCCAACTTTCTGAGACAGCTTGCCAACCTCGCTCATCAATGATAATGTATTCCATTTTCCTCCCTATGACATGTGAAGTTCAAATTAATCCGAACAGAGAGACAGAATCTCTATTGACTGGTTTTGGCTGGAAGTACATTTTCTGATTTGCAACCAAATTTTTCATGGAGGTTAAGATCATTTTATGAAACAACCATGTCTCCCTGCTTTTTTGAGAACACAGCTGGATTCTACAAAACAGGTGTGAGTCCCTGACCCTAATGTTTTAGTCTATATTAAAATAATAAAGGGAATAGAACAAAGGGATTAGATCCATCTGAAACCTCAAACTTCCATTCCACAGGAAATGCTGACATTTTAGTGCCACTTCTATTATGGTAGGAACAAAGAATGCTATTGTGACTTTAGCTTTTTGGAGTATTAATATAATGTAGGATAGAACAAAATATGTTTGGAGAAAACAAGTTGTTGTGAAATGAAAAATTAGTCAAAGAATTCAATCCAAAATATCATCAAAGTCAGCACTGTTATAGAGGAAGTTTTGAGTGTAGATGAAACAGGAAAAAATGCTGTCAGAATATTTTCAGGCAGTCGTAGATGCTTTAATTATAGTTACAGTATCAGTAGGTAGACAAAGATGAAATAAATGCACAGGTCTTTTCCTGGTGAAATCTAGATACTAAGTCAAAATGTCCTTTGACTTGCTTTTATTCAGTGTCAGCCCAGTCTAGTGGGCTATATAACCTATATATATGTGTGTGTGTACAAACACACTTGGTGTTTGGTAAAATCCAACAAATAGGGGGATAAAAATTTTCCACAGTGACCCGTTTCCAGGGACAGTGCAAAATGACTTCCAGTAAGGAAGTCTTATGCTTTGAGGAGACATCAGCATTAATATCTATGATGGAATAAGCTATCTTTTTGCAGTGAGGATTTACCTAGGGGTGACTGTGGAGGCAGCTGCTCTCCTCATTAGCACTGCCCACAGCTTGTCCTCAGCTCCGGATGAGACAAGCTGCGTATCTGTTTCCCCACTTGCTATTTAGCCAAGTATGTAAGTTCAGCCTTGTGTTGCAGCAGGTTCACAGAAGCATATACATAGGGCATAGGACCAGTTGAGATGCCAGGTTTTGAATCACCTGTTTTCACCACAGGGATATTTTCAGGCTGCCTGACCCAGAAAAGATAATGTATCCCCGAGCCACGGAGCAAGAGAAATGCTGACATTTTAGAACAGTTGGCATGAACCCCTGCCTGGCCACTGGCTCCTTGTCCTTGAGACATTCAAGTTCACATGTGATTTTGATTCGACTGCTGTATCCCAGTAACTTTTCTTTGCCTTCCAGCTGCTCCCTGCACTGCACTGGACCCTGATGGACTCTGTCAAATTGCATCTCTCAGCTGCAGGTAACTTGGTCCAAATTCCTTTATGGCAGTGTTGTGCATCATTCCTAATTTGTGTGGCTTCTTTTCTCCATATGAAGATCTGGATCCCACAGTGGGAAGATCAGAGATGGAAGAAATAAAGGATCAGCACAATTACCTGTACATAGCTTGCCTTTACATTTTCTTATTGCCATTCCCTTTCTTCTGCTGGCAGACAGGAGCAGTGTCCAATTCTGTAACTCCACAGAGCATTTGAACTTGAATGCATTCAACTTCTCAGAAGAATCTCTTCTGGAAAAATTATCTTCTGACCACAGAGTAATCACTGAGTGAAAAAGGCTTTGCAGTCATTCCCAGTTAAGTCCTAAAAGACCTTGGAAATCCCTTGAAAATATAAGTGCAGAATTAAAGTGGCAACTACCTCCTTCTCCACTATTCTAACTCCCAGAGGGCTATTTGAGACCGTGTCTAGCAAGCCCACCACCCAGATAATGAGAAGGCTGTAGGAACTACCCAATGCAGTTAGGCATGGAACTGTGTACTTCCTATCCATTGCATTGAAACCACAGTCTAATAAAATAATTAACTGCTTCTATCCCTGCACATAAGTTTTCATTTGCTGTAAATTAATATAATTGAATATGCAAAGTGATTGGTCAGGGTAGTTTCTGAAACACTTTAAGGAAAAGCTTAAATATAAGCTTTCAGATTTCTTTATGCTATGGCTCTGATTGTAGTATCCCTTCAAATAATTGTTTGCAAAGCAGCTTTCAAAGTGAATTTTTATTCCAGGTTACTATTTGCTGTAACAGTGGAGAATGATATTGCCTGCAGCTGGGCATTGAAATGATTATGGGCTTCTTGGCAGCACAGGCAAAAGCTCCCTCTTCTGAAGGCTCCAGGGCTGAGGAAGGAAGGCCAGAAGGAGACATGAAGGACTGGGGAAGAAAAAAAAGTCATCAGGCATTCGAAGGAAAGTCTAATTAAGAGTAAAGCAACTTGGAGATGTCAGTACAAGTATAACTCCCTCTGTTTATCCCACCCCTCTCTCTTAGTACCTTCTACTCCAGCCCACCCCTTCATGAAACCCACAGCTTTAAATTCTTGTTGGGACTGTGCTTTAACAGACTTTGGGGCTTCTAATACTTTAAAGTACTGAAATGCCTACTTTTAGAGCAGAAAACCTGTCCTGCTTCTACTCTTAGTGTTTAATCAATCACAGTTTCCTAAGTTGCCCTGTTTTCCTCCAGAAATGCAATGCTTGCAGCAGAAATTGAATGTGAGACTAACAAAATGAGAACTAAATACTGACTGATATTTGCAGACACAAGTGATTTTTCAGCTAAGTGTGTCAGGAACTTGTCTTCTTGGCAGTGTCTTCATAATTTCAGTTTTATCATTAATTTTGGCAAGTGACCAAGAGGGAAAAAATTTTTCTAGCAGAATGCAGGGGGAATAAACTGTGACAAAGGAAAATGGACAGTGTAGGCTGGGTTCCTGATGAGGGATCTGTGAGGCTGAAGAATAATCCTCCAAGGGAAACGTGTCATGGAGAATTGTAAAGAAACTTACTTTGTAAAGGACCTCTGGAGATACCTGGTCATCCTGCCCATTAGAGCTCTCCTTTACACTGAGCCCAGCCTTCTTCCCATCTTCTCTGTATTTCCTGAAGAGAGAGTATACACAGACCTACAGTTCCTCCGATTTGTTTCCCAGGCAGTGTATTAGTGTTCAGGAACTTCCCAGGATGTCCTCTGCCTCTGAGGAGCATAAGAGCCTTCCCAGGGCCCTGTCTCATCTGTCATTTCATCTACATCCACAGACAAACCCACTTTAAAGTCTTGCTCAATGGTTTAGAAAATAATCAGAGGAACATTATGACTGAGCCAGACAATGGCACATGGAGCATTCCCCTTTTGTCAGGCATTCAAATCAGGACCGAGGCAGCAGCAACCAGAGTTACTGCCAGCTGGCAATTTGGAGACACAGGCTTGTAATCTAAATTCATCTTCCAAAAGCAGCACTTTTTTACATATTTATCAGTTGTCTCAGCAGAAAGGCCAGAGGCTGAGTGAGTGAGGAAGACCCAAGGGTCTGCTTGCTTCCACATGGACACTGACACGTGCTAAAGGAGCAGGGCACTGGTGCACAAGGGGTCTGATGCTGCAGCACACCAGTGATTCCCAAGGGAAATCACAGAAGTTTTTTCCTAAACTGAGAGTCTCTCTTTAATTCCCACACTCCATGATCTCTGTCAAACTATGACATAAATTAACCACCATGAAGAAACAAACAGCTCCTCAGATAACTTCTAAAAGTAAAACAGTTTAACCTCAAAAGTTGCTGTTTTCCAGCTCCATATTTCTTTTGTTTTCTGTTCCTCAGACATTTCTCGGAGGAAAGAAAATCATTTCCACAAATTTATTGTTATCTCCTCAAGCATATTAGAGACAAATTAAAAGTCTTGTCCTTCACTGAATGACACATGGGGTTGTATTACGGAATCTCCGTCAGTCTCCTGAAACTACTCAGAGGAATACAGAATATGAAAGAGCATGAAATTCAAAAATGAGTTAAGTCCTAAGGTTAGGGATGTAGCTGAGAAACCCAATTAAATTAGAGTAATATTAACTACTGGAAGGGTGTTCTGGGATGCTTGCTTTATTCCAGGTTGTGCCAGAAACACAGTGTGAAAACTTAGACAAATAGACCATTTTTTCATCTCTTGAATGCAAAATAGGGTGAGAAAGTAGCTTTTATTTTTCATTTTTATAATGTATAGCACAGTGCTGTTCCAAATGGAGTTAGGACTTGTGGATTCCAGAGAAATACTAATAATATTTGTAGCAATACAATACAATACAATACTGTTCTTAATCAGACAGAGCTCCCATTTATTTCAATGAGAATATTGCCTGCAGGATCAGGCCATCGACTCCTAATCAGAGCTCAGTCAGCTGTCAGCTTTCCCTGACAAATTCAGTGCAGGGGATTCAACTTCATCTCACTCTCCTTCTGCTACTCGCCTGCCCTCACAACAGAAACTCCGCATTCACATTCAGAATAAGAGCATTCACGACACACTGCCAGGCCCGGCATTTCCCTCTCTTTGTTAACGTCTGTGCTTGCTTCGGTGCCGTCCTTTATTGTAAGCCTAATAAGTACATAAAGGCTGAGGAATGGGGATCCGAGCAGACTCACAGCAATGGGCTTCGAGGAGCTTGTTTGCCCGGGCAGACAGACTGGGTAAACAATTAGCTCCAGCTCCAACATTCAGGTCCTGCAGAAGAATTGGATGCCTGGCATTGGCCACTCTCCACGACATTCAAAATTTGGCTTTTCTCCAATCAAATATTTAACATTCGCAATCGTTTGTCCAGCCCCACAGCCTCAGTTAGGAATTTCTGCTCCATTCTATTTATGTAAATGGACATTTGGCAATTATTTACTAAGAACTTTGAAAAAAAAATGTACTTAGCTTTGTAGCAAGGGTAAAAGAGAGTTTGTTTGAAAATCATATAATGGAACAGGTCATCAGCTACCAATACCTACTACCAATACTATAAGCAGTGTACACTTAAACAAAGTATAACTTGGAGTGTTGCTGTCACAGACCTTTCTGTGTTCATTGCTGGTAGCAAACAGCTGGCTTTTAATGAAACATAATAGAGAAATTGTTATTTTAAAGCTGCCTTTCCATTTATAATCATGCCTGTTGCAGTACAATGGTGAATTGTATCCTTATTCCTTCATGCTGGCAATGCAGGAAATATTTAACAAGTGCTTATGAAGTATTTATTTTCAAATACGTTAATGGTGTGTCTCCAAATCAGTAAAGTTAGTGTACTTTGAGGCACACATACAGGTTGTACCTTTTGTATCAGGACATCATGTTTATTATAATCCACACCCTTTATAGTTTCAGATTGATGCAACGAAAGTTGCACAGTATTATCTAAGTCAATCTCCTGTGCATCACAAACTCTTATATTTCACCCTGTTTCACTTTATCCAACCCATCTCTTCAGTGTGAGTAAAGAACTTAAGCTCTCAGGAAATTAACCTGTTGTATGCCACAGATATTCCAAGTCAGCTTTGACATGGTAAATAAATAAATAAAATATGCTAAACAACATATGAAAAACTGCAAGAAAATATTTTTTGAGATGTTAAAGAAAATGAGAAAAAACGGTTGCTTGTTTTCATGTCAGGCTGGACATGAGCCAGCAATGTGTGCTTGCTGTCTGGAAAGCCAGTTGTATCCTGGGCTGCATCAGAAGCAGTGTGATGAGCAGGTTAAGGCAGGCAATTCTGCCCCTCTGTTCTGCTCTCATGTGACACCACCTGGAGTGCTGCATTCAGGTTTGGGGCCTCCAGCACAAGAAAAACGTGAATCTGTTGGAGAGCCACAAAGATGATTAGAGGGAAGGATCACCTCTCCTATGAGAGAAAGCAAAGAGAGTTGTGGTTGTTTAGCCTAGAGAAGTGAAGGGTCTGGGGTGACCTTATTGCAGCCTTGCAGTACCTAAAGGACTCTGCAAGAAAGCTGGAGAGGTACTGTTTACAAGGGCATGTAGCGATAGGACAAAGGGGAATGGCTTCAAAGTGAAAGTGAGTAGGTTTAGATTAGATATTAGGAAGAAATTATTTACTGTGAAGGTGGTGAGTCACTGGAACAGGTTTCCCAGAGAAGCTTTGGATGCCTCATCCCTCAAAGTGTTCAAGGCCAGCTTTGATGGGGCTCTCAGCAACCTGGCCTAGTGGAAGGTGTCCCTGCTCATGGCAGGGGGGTTGGAACTAGATGATCTTTAGGGTCCCTTCCAACCCAAACCATCCTGTGATTCTTTTTGTTTTTCTGATTGTTTTTCACTTGTCTTTGAGAACAGAATCAAGCTTGTATTATTATGTGCAAGAATTGTTCTTACACACAACCTCTAAACATGCTATTAATTGTTTCCTTCAGTCACATATGCACAAAATGTTTAGAAAAGAACAGAAGGTATGGTGAAGATCACTGTGGAAGTCTTAACCTGTGAGGCTGTACACGTTTCTATAAAGAAGTCACAACCTGTTCAAAGTCAGTGGATGGTCCTTGTTGGATATTCTGCAAGAGGGGGGCTTTCTTGAACTTAAAAGGGGAATCTAAGGCTCAGCTTTGGACTTGGTCTTGCTTTTAGGAGGCTGGACTAGCAGATGTCCAGAGGCAACCTGAAGTACTCTATGGCTCTCTAAACAGATTTAATGACTGCTGATGGTCTAAATGCATACTAAGGACAAGTCACCCCATGTACTACTGAGAGCAGAGATCTCAGCAGGGAGCCACTAAGAAGAATGTTCAGGTGATCTGGAAGAACTGGTAAGGTGCTAGGCAGAATCTAGGTAAGAGCAAGGTAAATAACTGAAGTTTAACCTTTGAGAAATATTGGCCTACTTTTCCCAGGGAAATTTACAGTTGTATGGGCTCCAAATCAAGAAAAAGACATACGGACTTCTCTGGGATCAGGCTGAGGCATTAAACTGATGGAAAAAGAGAAAGTGAAAATGTAGAGCAAAAGCACACTCATTAGCTTAAATTTAAAACATCATGAAGGGAATCAGCAAAGCAACCAGGAGACTTGCAAGGAAGAAAATATCTGATTTTCCTTAAGCTAATACTCAGCCTGGAAAATAAACAAAAAGAATTTGCCTGGTCATTATTAAACATCAATTTGGCCTAACTGATATTACCAATTCAGTGGAATGATTTCTTTGACCAGACAGTTTAAATCCCTTACTATAACTAAACCAGCAAGCAGTGATCTCAAAATAGCAGAAACTGTACGTCAAAAATGGCATCAGCTCTTTCTGTCACTGGTAAGGGAAACCATTGATCTCAACTGTTTTTGAACCACAGGATAAGTACCTACGTAAAACATCTCTCTGTACTGTATAGAGAAAGTGACTTAGGCTGACTGATCTATTCTGGATTTCCCACAGTAACAGTGGAACTGTCTAAAAATTACCTACAACAGTTTCCTAGACTGAAAATCAACACAGAAAATATATATTTGCCTTGCCAGTTAACAAAGGTATAGTTCCAAGAGTTAAATATAATTGCTTACAGCTCTTTCTAAAATTTTAAAATCAGGAGTTTAAAGAAACTTTTCAAGAAGATCTCTTGACCATTACTGTCAATTTTCAATTAATCCTAAAATAGAAGGAAAACTGTAAAAGTCTGGAAGAAAGTGAGGGTGATATGAGTATTTGAATAGGATATATGGAGTTACCCAGATAAATGTGGGCTTTTCTATTTGATTTCAATCTCAGATCACATAATCAGATTGGCAATATATTTCACAAAGGATCAAAGTAGCATAATAAAGATTTATGGAAACAGATTTTGTCAAAGAATAATACTGCTTTTGATGAAAGCCCAAGTTTTAGAATAACAGCATTGATATATTTTACATATATTATATTTACTGATACAGTACACTTGGACTTTTAAGGCCTTTGACCATAAGATATCTTGCTAAACAGCTGAAGTATAAATAGAAATAACTAGACAGTGATGAACCAAAGGCTGTAACATATACCTACACTGTGGTAATTTTTAGTTCAAGACTGGCTGTTCTTTAAAATGGCTTTCTAGCTCAAACAAGACAAGTGGCCGGAGCAGAGAACTCCATGGGTAATGCAGGATGTCAGGATGGATCACAGTGCTTCCTTCCAGCTATAAACCCCTCTTTGTGTGGGTAACAACTATCAAGTGAAATACCGAAGTGTTTTGCAGAACCTAAGGTAATTCTGGACAGGGCCTTTCCTCGTGGCCTAGGTCCGCAACTCCAATCAGTAGTAATATAGGATCTTCCTACTAATAAACTAGGATGAGGGCAGTGTAAGTACATTTACTTCTTCTGAGAGCAGCTGAACTATCATTCAGGGAGTATCTGTGTAGATGTCTGGTTTGAGTGCACTGCTCGCTCCTTTCCTGTCCCAGGAAGTCTTCTACCAAGGTGTCCATGGAATGTTGCCATGGAGTTATACAGGATACCTCTCAGACCTACTACCTTGGGCTGTTGATAAATGCAGGCAGATACCTATACCCTGCTTGTCTTAGATCAATGAGGATTAGAAAGTTATGTTAAATTCTAAATGCACTGAAAGGCACACTGTGTCACAAATAAGTTATAAGAAATCCAGACTTGCTATAAATATTCCTTATGGGACATGTCTCTGCAAGACATATCATCAAATATAAACTTTCCTTATCTTCTAGGCTTTGAACTGTAGATTGCAGCAATTAGTGCTGGGAAAGATCTATTGGATTACCTAAACTGCTACGTGATATTCAGGATAGTTTCCCCTTCCTAATGTTTTGCCTCACACAGTTTATATTTCTTGGGGGGAAGGGCGGGTGGAAACGTCCTGGGATACTATTTCACAACCGGTTCGCAGAGTCAGAAATTTTTCTGGTGACATTTAGCCCTAATATGTCTTTTCTAATCTCACTGCATTAAGCTCTTGTCATTATATTCTTTAGTGCCATTTGAAATAATTCCTCATTAGGGTCCTATATACTCTAAACTGCAAGTGTAGACTGTTAGATTCATCCTGTGATAAACTATGCAAGTTTTCTTCATTCACCTTTAATGTATTTTTTTTTCTAATTTACCTCCAATTTGTCTATGTCTGATATGGAGCTAGGTAGCCAGAATCAAGTGCAGTCCTGCAGCTGCAGTCACAGCTAAGAAGCATAAAATTGCAATTAGTAGCTTGCAAATGAAAGATGTCATCTGTCATATGGGAATCATAAGTTAGTGAAACATGTTGCCTATTTGGGAGAAGAAGCATCACTGTTTTCATAGTTGGATACACCAGATTTGGAAAACAACCCAAGCTTATCTTGACAAGATGTGAACAAGAGCAATTCTCTGGTGAGGAGCACTTAACTCTGAATTGCTGTCTAACTTTAAGAGCCAAATATCCTCTCCACATGAGCTGTCTAGCCTGCCTCTATTGATGCCCAAGAGAGAATAATTTCAGACTGCAGTTCATTCCATAATAACATCAGCATCTAACACGGGTGGGCTGGATTGCCCTCTGGAGATGCCTCCTCTCCTCTGCTTAAAGATGGCCTTCCTTAGGCTACTGGCACCATTTTTAGATGGCTAAAATTAGCCAAGGTTAATCTTGCTTACATGTTTCCAAGCTAATCATAACTGACCTCACCTGGCTCTTCGTGTTTCAGACCGGAGGCCCCTATCAGATGGTCCCACATGCTGGCTGTCATGGCTAAACAGCCATCCTGTGCACCCTGGCCCCCCATCTTCATTCTGCTTAGAAGCACTGATTCAAAGGGGGTTATATAGACTCGGAGAAATTCTACCAGCAAAGGCTTACTTGACCAAGAAATTAAGATAGAACAGCTCAATAAAGTAGTCCCAATCCCTGACTGGTTTTCCTTTTTCTTTGCCTCCTTAAGATGGGGAGATAGACCTGTTTTTGAAGTCCCCGCAGGGTCTACATCCATTGCAAGATGATCTTGCCAAGAACACCACCTTCAACCATTCCTCTCCCTCAGGGAGGTTTTAACTGCACAGGCTCTGTCTGAGCAGATGTACCATAGCTAGAACATAGTCTGAAGTTTTATGTGGTCTCTCACTCACAAGTCACACTATTAACTTCAGGGTACCTTTATGCTGGTGCAAGATGACCAGGCATCAAACTTAGTCTGAGCTCAAGCATCTCATTAGAAATGCCACCAATTCTGGCTGTACAAGGGGACTAGGAAAGGCCCTCTCCAGCATTAGCCAAGCAAAATCATTGCAGAGGCTGACAGGCAGATGTTGAACAGTTTGACCAAGCGCTGTGCCCAACTCATCTGCTCTGCAGGGGGCCTCTCACTGTGGGGACAACCTTCTCTTTTGCTGTGTGCCTTGAATACAGGATTCTCTATAAACAAGCTGGGCATGAGGTATGATCTCTGATGGGAGCTGAAAAGACATCTACTAATATCCTCAATGACCTCATAAGTATGCAGGAACTTCATGGTCACATACAGCACTTATAAAGCTCACTATTCCTAGATGAGTACATGATGGATTCAAAACCGCCAGACAGAACCATGAAACTTATAGCAGCATCTACACCCATCAGATAGGCACAGTCTGACATGGAAACAAAAACAGTACTGATTAATTCAATCCAATTTTGTGTAACACTGAAGATTCCCTTTTTCAGGAAACTCACGAAGTTCTCAGGGAATGCAGTTGCAGTGGATGTTTTATTTTTAAGGTGTTATTTTGGAATTACTTCACTGTTTTGATATGCTGTTTATCCAAATGGTGAAGATGCAGTGTATTACAAGAATCTCAGTCTTGCTGGAGCAAGTCCAGATGCCTGTTTTATTTCAACAAGTTTTCACTATTATGAAATTAAAGAGGCACTGTTAGTTTAAATATCACTCGTTAGAAATGTTTTCAGTAATATGAATAGTAGGAATTCCCAAGATCTGTATAGTTTAGAGCATATATATGATATATATATAGCTGCAAATTTTGAACCAAGATGAATTCAAAATATTAATCTTTTTCTTCCTTCTATGTCCCATGCCATGTCTGACAGATAATCCCATTAAGCCTTTAAATAGAGAATTCAGAGCGGGGAGGGAGGTGATAGTAGTGGGAGGGGGGGAGATAAGGGGGAACCAACCACCACAAAACTATTACTAAACATACTGTGTATTCAGTTCAGTGTTACCTCTTGTGTTTCCCATATAGTAGTAGATTAGTTTTCCAATAGTTTTAGAAACTTTCTGTAAAGCTTGAGTTGTCTCAAGCAAAGCTGTTTATTTGCAGTTAAGTCTGCAGGTGGAACTGTGCAGTAGAAAACCTCCTGTTTGAGAGAATTGCAACTAAGTGCTCAAGTATCCCTATTTACCTAGGAAGATGATGGACACACTGAGTGGGGGTCATTTCATGTAACTGTAGACATCAAAAAGTTAGATTTAACCTTTCCTAAAAGACAGCAGAAGGAAATGAGTGCTTTTAAGGAACGATTCTTTGGCCTAGCTTATATCCCATTTTAGGATGTAATAAGTCACCCTCTGAGAAAGCCCCTAAAGACCTGCAAAAGGAACCTAGAGTGGTCATGACTGGCTTTTACTTGTCTTTATTTGTGCAGAGGAATCGTCTCCTAGGCTAGAGTCCTCCATGCTGCTCCATTGTGTCACACTTGCTGATGACAAAATTTTTGCCAACACAGGAAGGACATTGTATATATTTAGCTGTCAGTTTTCCCACTTGGCAATCTTTTTCATAAACCAAACAACTCAGATCCTCAGTCCTCGCATGCTTCCTTTAAGAACTTGACAGTAAAAGCCTCTTGCTTCTGCGAACTAGGAATAAGTGCCACACCCACCACCCTTGCAATCACAGTCTGGGAGAACCTGAGAAAGAGAGTTCCTTCTCTCTGAGTGGTATCATCTTATAATGCAGCACTTATGAGGCAAATGTCTGCCCTTCCCCTTCCAGTCAGCACAGCATTTAGTCATGGGAGAGTCACAACTGTAACTATCATCATAACACTGCATTGAGGTTGGACATGCTCTCACACTTTTTGCACAGATTTGGGAACCACAGCAGCAGAGCCTCCCTGAAGTCCTGAACTGAAGTAGGGGCAGGGATGATGATAGGACTTGCTTCTCCAAAGTGCCGGTCTGCATCATCCTTGCCTTCAAAAAAAAACTTTTTTCAAAGGGATAGAGTGTTCTCACCTTTAACTTCTTTCTCCTGCAGTTCAAAAGCACTTCGGGAAACAGCATTGATGAGCAGGGGTCTGTGTCGCAGGGCAAGTAGAGGGAGCCAGCTGGAGAACTGTCATTGCAGTGGGGAACTCCAAGGACTTTTCTGCTGCATTGCATCAGCAGTGAGCAATGGGGGGACTCACTTGAGCCAACTGTGGGATGTCATTCTTCCTTCCAGACGCAGTGGCCTCTGAAATCGCTCCATTGTCTGCAGCGGAATCTGGCACAGGCCCATAATGCCAGGTTACTTCACTTCCCTGCAGAATAAAAGATTTCTTCAACCATGAGAAATTATCTCCTGACAGTGCCATTCATTAAGGCTCCCACCTGTAGACTGTTTCATTTTCAGCTTACTCACAAGGTGCTGAAAAGTCAGCCTGTGTGTTATCACTTGACAATATAGTACAGCTAATACCTCTTCACCCTTACTTACATTGCCACTTACTGCTCTTTGCCTCAACAATGGCTCACAGTAACATTCAGATCTTGGACTGCACTTTCTTTTAAAAAAATCTTGTGCAGCGCAATTTCATCAGAGCTCTTGTTTCTTAATAATTATACATACAGGGGGAAAAAAAAATCTATATTTGGTATTTTTTCTCTCTTTTCAATTAGAAAGTTAAAACAGCAGATTTTGTCTGTAGCTACCGGATAGAACTGGGCAATGTTTCATTTTCTCTTAAGGCAGACATGAAGACAGGTCAGATGAACTGTCTTTTCTGAGCTTATGGTTTAATGTATGCCCTAAAAATAATAAAACCCAGAAGTTTTTATGGCAACCAAATGTCTCATAACTAAATTTCAAACTAAACATTCTTCTCCACTCCTTTTGTTTTGAAAAAAAATTTTGCCCAACACTTTGTTTAATTTTTCATTCTCAGGAGGGGTACTGTAGACACCAAGCCTTATGGTTCCTATTCATCCATTTGTGTTGTACATAGAGACACACTTCATAGAATCACATAATCATAGAATGGCTTGGGTTGAATGGGACCTCAAAGACCTTCCAGTTCCAACCCCCCTGCCATGGGCAAGGACACCTTCCACTGGACTAGGCTGAACAAAGCCCAGTCCAACCTGGCCTTGAAGAGTGTAACAGGAATACAGGTGCTGTACAACAACCAGGTGGCAGGTGCTGTACAAACATAACACAAAAAGATTGTCCTTTCCCCTAATGAGAAATACAGAGACAGCAGTCAGTCACAGGATGAAAGAGACACTCCAGGAAACTATGAGAAGTCTGGTGGAAGGTCTCTAACTGTGGACATTTACATAGACACTCCTTTTGGATGAGGTACCTTCATGTTTTCCAGCGCTGCCTTCCAGCTGCTGCTCCAGGTGGGGTAGGTTTGTAGTCCCATATTGTATCACGGATAGCCCAGGGAGTCCCAAACCCCTATAGTTAGGTAAAGGGCAATCCCACTATATATATATTAGCAGTGTCTTGTATCTCTGTTCCCCTGACTGCTGCAAACACTTCTATCAGCATCATATCTTCTAGGATTGTGTCTATTTGAATTTGCCTCTGGAGATCAAACAGTCATTCCTTAGTCAGTCGGAATTTATTCAAAGTTGCTGCAAATAAAAAATTGGGGGAAATAGACATAGAAGGAAACAACCATGCTAAAATTCATTCTTTCTTCCCTTTGAGATTCTTGGAAACAACAGTGTGATCCAGGAAGGCTGATACATTTGAGATAAAGCAGAAAAGGGACATACAGAGAATTGTTCAGCAGACGGTTTGCAGTCATCTAGAAGTGACTGCTAGGCAATCTGTACCTTGCCAGAAAAGTGATCAAAAGGCCTCATTTGGTGTGCTGACCTACTGCAGTCAGGAAGACTTTGAAAGCTGGGAAGGCCCTGGAGCACATATGATAGTTGTGACACAAGAGGCTGCCATGCCCATGGAAAGTAAAACCCCCCTGGCCCACTGCTGCACCCCTGAGTCCCACTCTAACCAAACCCCTCAACATTTTCACCTCCTAAGCGGCATGGGCTAACCCCTCCATACATACAAAACAACAGATGTGTGTGTACAGGGCAAAGTTTCTGAGCAGTGCCTGCGCATCTAGCTGGGAGGTCAGTAGACACAGAGTCCAGAACAGGAAGGGACCTGTGTTTAGTATGGTACTGCAGCCAGAGCCTGACTTGTCAGCTGCTTGCTGATACTCCAGATATCTTTCTCACTGTTGCATGGTCATTCCGTCATGGGCCAAGAGCAGCTGCACTGGTTTTACCATCCTTTCCTCAATCCCAGTTGTATTCTCTAGATGTGTTTCTGCTGGAAAAGCTTCTCTTCTACGTCTCGGGACCTCTCCCTCACACTGCAGTTCTTCTCTAGTCATTCACAGTTGAGAAAGACTCATCTGAGTAGTTATGATTTTGGTAGCACATGCTTTTTCCACTCATTTGGTAAAATCTGCAGACCCAGACAGGAGCTGGTGCTAGGCCCAAGTAAATGCAAATTAGAAAAATAATGTCTGAGAATGTAAGATCTGGTCATATTTCAGCTCCTCACAGAGGGTTGATGGGTGAGGCAGAGGTTTTGCCATGCTTCAGGCCCTTCTCATCCTTTGTAAGGGCAGCAGCAGGGTGCAGAGGTCAGCAGAAGGCTGCAAATAAATTGAGTCCTGTGAAATTTATATTTCCTTTCTGGGGTAATGGTGATCAGCTGGGAATTTTGGCAAAACTTTTTGTGGATTTTTCTTGTAGAGTTAGAACATTGCAGGATTTTTGCCTTCTTGGCTCTGGTTTCCTCTTTTCTTGCCAGATGTCATTATAAGAATTCAAGAAGGATGAGTAATTAAAACCCGTGCAAAGAATGTGTTTGACAATTAAACTCAAATATCTGCCTGATAAGGCAACGTGGGTGACTGACCGCAGAGCTCTCGGAGCTGATGTCCTGTGATGGCAGGAGGGACCCAGGGGGCTCGCACCACTCCTGGGGACCCTCCGAGAAGGGGCCTGGGGACCTGGACACTGGGGACAAAGAGCCTGGCACCGTCGGGGCCGCAGAGGTACCACGGCCGCACCCCGAAACCTCCCACCCTGAACCGAGGTGAGGGTACAGCAGCCCCTGAGCAACCTGCAGTGCCAGGGCACTGCGAACGAAAACAAGGATGAAGAAAAAAAGAATATGGTTTACTTCGGGAAACACACGAAAACAGCAGTAAAATAACAGACAGGGCGGTGACGCCCCACAGGGTGCCCCGGGGCGGCGGCCCGCGGGGGAAGCTGCGCGAAAGGACGGGCCCGGGGCCGGCCCAGCCGGGGAGGGGCGGCGCGGCGGGGCCCCCGTGGCCGCGGGCGGGCAGGGGCGGCGGCGGCACCGCCGGGAGCGCTGCGGAGCGGAGCGAGGCGAGCACGGAGCGAGGCGAACACGGAACGGCGGGACCCCGCGGCAGGATCCACCTGCGGGAGGCGCCGCTCCGCCCCGCCCCGCCCCGCTCGGAGCGCGCCGCCGAGGGCCGGCGCCCGGCGGGAGGGAGGGGAGGCGGCCCCGGGCCCCGCGGAGGCGGCGGGAGGGATGGGACCGGCACGGGCCCCGCCACCTGCCTGAGCCGCTCCCGGAGACGCCGCCGCCGCCGCGGGGAGCTGGTAGGTAGCGGGTCCCCACGGCCGGGAGGGCGCCGCGGGGTGCGGGTCGCCCCGGGGGACAAAGGGGCGGCGGGGAGGATGGCGAGCGCTGCTCTCGCCCCGCCGTGCCCCGGCCGGCCCCTCACCTGGCCGGCGGGCGCGGGGCCGGGGGCACCCGGCGGTGCGGGGACCGAGCTGCTGTCCCGGCCGGGGCGAGCCTTCCCTCCCCGCGGGGCTTAATGTTTAGCCCCGCTCACATCCACCGGAGCGCACCCGGCGCCACCTCCCCGGCGGCTGCGGCCACAAAAGGGAGACCGCGGCTCTCCCCGCCGGTCCCCGCCGCGGGTCCGCCGGCGCCGCTGCCGGGGACCAACTCTCCCGGCGAGTGAGGGAGCAGCTGGTAAAAAATTCGCCTTTGCTGCCTTTCACGCTTCGGAGGCGTCAGGAGTAGTGAGTGCCCTGTTGCGATCCTCTACTTCGCTTCGCCGCGCCGTGACTGAGAACATTAGTGTTTTGGTGTGGGGTTTTTTTGAAAGAAATACATGACACGAGCTCTTTATTGAAGCGGTTGCTGGAGCTTGGGGCAGTTGTTCGCCTCCTGACCCGAGAGGGGTCCGAGGTGTCGGTGAGATCCCGCCAGGACCCCGTTTGCGCGGTTGCCCCGTCACTCCGGTGGTTTGGTAGTCCTGGGGATGCAGGTCCTTCCTGCAGCTTATCCCGTTATTCCAAGTGACCGCCACTGTCCGTCTGTAACGCAGTTCGCTCTTGTACCATGAAACCGAAGCTGCTTGACATGCAGGGAAAGAGAGAGAAGAAAGAAAGGAGGGTGAAAGGAGGCAGTCAGATTATTCTATAGGAATTGGACTGAGAAACACGTACTGTTCTCCCTTTCCACTGTGTCCATGTCACTGACACACGTGTCAAAACACCTGCTGTGCCCGGTGTATATGTTAATAGACACACCCTTGGCCTTCCAGTATCGAAGTCTGTTTCACGTTTTCCTAGACATCTGTTCCTACAGCCCTCAGTCAAGCAGGTGAAGCAGTATAACCCTCACACCACCCTCAGCATTGCAGGCAGGTTAATAGAGATGTTAGAAGGCAGTAAGGCTTCTGTAATTGTTAAAGCACGACTCAATTATTTTTGCTGTGTTTTAACAAGTTCTGTGACCAAGAAAAGTAGAAGAGGTATTTTGGCACAGCACTGACAGTGATTTAGTTCTCCTTTATAATTTGGTTTGAGGCAGGTTTTTCTCTCTCGCTGCCTTGGTTTCCTTTCTTCATTTTTTTGCTATGTTAATCATTCTGGCTTCTAGCACAGTGGAAAAACTTTCTTCATTTCAAAATGTAATGGAGACTGTTTGGTTCACAGGCTTTCATACTGGATGATTCAAGATTTATTGTTATTTAACCATCTGTTACAAGAACCACCCCTGAAGTAGTGAACTCTTGCAGAAAAATTACTTGCTTATTAGAAAATGATTCATGTCCATCATGAACAAGGCAGTTTTCTTTCACCAACATCCATCGCAGGGCATGAGTGCCCAGAGCAAGCAGGAAAATGTGTCTGTAAAGTATTTTAGTGGCATGGGGAGCCCTGGGGTAGCTGTCACTGTTTCCATTCTCTAAACAATTTTAATGCCATTAGCGAGTGTGATTATGTACAAACCGCTTCTAGGGGGTTCCTAGGCTGGATGTCAGAGCAGGGCTTTGTACTGAGTCAAAGGGTGGATTGAGTTTATGACACAGTTTAAATAGAAACAGAAGAGCAGTACTACAGTAGGGCAGCACATCGTAACTCATTCAGTATTGCTCTGTGATAGCCGTGCAGCGAAGTACTCACTTCATACCAGTTTGTTTGATTTGAGAACACCTTTTAGGGTCACCCACAAGTAAGTAGCTGAACACAGAGAGTTTTAACCCTAGATTTCTTTTCAGCTTTTTGGTTTTGTTTTAAACAAAAAGGAAAAGAGAAAGTAAAAGGAAAGAAGAGCCTTACTGAAAGGTCACTCTTTAAATATAGACTGCTTTTTCAATTCCTTCATTTTCTGCTTTACTGTTTTTAAAGACGAAGAATCTACACAGAAAGAGGTGCTTTGTACTAATTTGCATTTTGTTGTAAATAAGACATATTTATTCTATTTATTGCTGTCCAGAGCTGATTTAGTACTAGTTATGTCTCCAGATGAGATATAATTTGAAAGTTTTGGTAAATGCCTTGGTTTGTGAGTACTGTTTAGCTTCTGTATTCAGGTGTAAACCCACAACTCTATTTTATTGTTAGGTTTTAATAACATTTTAAATAAAAGTTCTGTAACTGATGTAAAGGCTTTTTTATCCCATATAGCTGCAATGTGATTATAGCACAGAAGCAGCAGGGGAGAGGTGTGGGAAGGTTTGCTCAGAGACATAAAGTGGAGTAAGTACCGCTTTACACACCACAGGACGGACACAAATACCATCTTCTGAAGCCTTTTTGGGGGACCATCTCTAGTCCCATCTCCTGTCGTGTTCTCTTCATAGGGCGGCTGCCCTCTGCTGTCTAAATCTGCCTTTCCAGTGCTGGCATTGCTGTGGTAGTGATAGTGGGGAGATGAGGGAGGGCAGGTTGCAGGGAGAGGTGGTGTCTCTTCTTGGCTCAGATGATAATCCTGGAGGAAGCAGAGAAGCTTTTGGGCACACAGTCTCTTTATCAGGTCGTTATGCTGACAGGCACTGCTTGTGCAATTAACAACTGACAAGATGCTTCTAACTTTCCCTTGCCAGCTAAATAAACCAGCCAAAGGCCAGCACTGACTCAATTAGCATGAATGAGGTTTAGACCCAAGAAGTGGTTTAAGTGGTGCAATTTAGAGAGATTCCATCTATCGGGAAAGCTTCAAATGTAAATTGTGGGGATAACTTTCATATGAAGCAGGTGAGAGCAAACTGCTTAGAAATATGTGCTCTTAATGACCGGATCATGTACCTGATGCACAGCATAACTGTAGTTCAGCTTGTTCTCAGCTTCTAACTGTGGAACCAGTAAACATGGCTGCATACAGCCCTTACTGACACAAGTAGAACAGTTAACAGTTGACTTATGCCAGTGTATATTGTTGTGGGGATGAAGTGGTATCGTTTGTCCCCTTTACTTTCTTTTTCTATGTTTTCCTAGTCACTGCTATGCAAGTATATTTGATAATAGAGCAGGTGTTCCGTGTACCATCCTTATACTGATGTCAAACTCTCTCATTTCATAACTTGCAAAATGCAGCCACATCTAATATTAATCTTTGCTGTGGAAGGAGTCAGAGGAGCTGGTGGTTTTCCTTGAATACCAAGTATTTTCCAATTTTGGGACATCCAAAATTACTCAATTCTGGTTCATGTTTAAAATGGCTTATATTTGCCAGCATGACTCACTTGTTAGGTATAATGCAACACATTCTATAAAGCTTAACCTAGAAAAAAATATGTTTCTTTAAAATTGTCCTTTTGTTAATGAAAAAGTTGCCAACAGAATGTGTGATCACTTCTGGAAGAGTCAGTACGTGCCTCTGTGGGTATCGGTAACATCAGCTCTGTTCATCTGCGTCTGTTTTTTGGAATGAAAATATTTTAGTATCCTGCATGAGTCAATTTGTATTTTGGACATTGTGTGCTTTAATGGTAGCCTCTATTCCCAAAGAGGATGCTACCAAAATTCTAAGATTCTAGGCCCACTATTTGAGTTGGACACCTTTGGACTTCAGCAGTCTGTAGCTTCTAAAAGTTTTTTTCGATTCAGCTTAGGAATGGAGTATTCCTACAAAAAGCATTGGAGAGAAGGATTTTTCTTTTTTATTCTTAGATAGCTGTGGTTATTTCCTGCATGATTTGCTTTGGTTTACTCATTTGAGGCATTTCAGGAATGATCCTGCAGTTGTGATCAGTGTAACCTCAGCAGGGTTTGAAATATGTGTAAGCTCAACATAATTGTGAAGTTTTGTTTGAATAATCTTTGTGTGAGGGAGATCCTGCCTGCCTTCTTGCCCAGGGCACAATGCCTCCTGCAGCGATTCAGCTGTATGGCTAATTTTCAAATAAACTAACGTTACACATTTTCTTGACACAGTACTGGTGCACGCTGTTCTCTGCAGTCTGAGTCGCTCTGCCTGTGGTTCATAAACACATTCACAGTCCCATTTGCCTCCCTGTGCTCAGAGGGGGTTGGTTTGCATTTCTAATTAATTGAGTTTATAAAGCAATAAGCCAGTATGTTAACTGAAAATTCCCTCAGGAATTGTAATCTTCCTTCATTAGCTGCCCCTGTGTA